GAGGAGAATGAGGACCAAATTCCCTCCATGCTTTGTCACGGGGGAAGTTAGAGGGCAGGGGGGTGAGGGGTGACTTCTGGGGGAGCACAGGTTTCTGTTTGACTCTGCTGCTCACTTCCCTCGTGGTCAGCACCAGTGGGGTCAGCACCAGTGGGGTCAGCACTGGTGGGGTTGGCTCTCTGTGGCTTTGGGAGAGCATGGGGGTGGGGAATGTGGAGAGACACCACACCAGCAGAAATTCCATCTTCTCAGCTGATGGACAAAACTCTGATAGGTTCTGGTTATGTCRCCCACCAAAACGCTCCAGTTTTGCTGCTGCTCTTCAGCAAGGCAGGGAGCCAGCAGTGCCCATGGACAGCAGGTGCCTCAGTCTCCCCACAGGGTGTTACACAGGGTGTCACACGGGAGGACAGACAAATCCCCCGAGTCTGAACCCCAGGACATCCTGAGCGGGGAGGGACCCCAAAGATCATCCAGCCCTGCCCAGACCCCCCAACAATCCCACCCTGTGCACCCCTGGCAGCGCTGCCCAAACCCYCCTGGAGCTCTGGCAGCCTCGGGGCCGGGACCATTCCCTGGGGAGCCTGGGTCTAAATCCACCACCCAGTCCCAAATCTACCCCCAAATTCCTTCCAAAGATGTAAATCCACCCACCTCAGCCCCAAGTGTTCTGCTCACCCCAAATCCACCCCATAGCTCCAAGTCTACCCCCAAATCCACACTCTCAGCCCCAAATCCTCACCCCAACCCCAAATCCTCTCCTCCAGCCCCAAATCTTCACCCCAACCCCAAATCCTTACCCCCAACCCCAAATCCCCCCTCCCCAGCCCCAAATCCACCTCCCAGCCCCAATCCTCACCCTCCAACTCCAAATCCATCCTGAGCCCCAAATACACCTCCCAGCCCCAAATCCTCACCTCTAACCCCAATCCTCAGCCCCAATCCCAAACCCTCACTCCTCAGCCACAAGCCCTCACCCCCAGGCTCAAACTCTCACCCCTTAGCCCCAAATCTGGCCCCAGCCCGAATCCCCACCCTCCAACCCTAAATACACCCTGAGCCTCAAATCCACTCTGAGCCCCAAATCCTCACCCTCCAACCCCAAATCCATCCTGAGCCCCAAATCCACCTCCCAGC